TCTTATATAAGTTTACGGAATCAAAATCAAAATCATTTATACATCGACATAAGAAAAATACATTTCATTTATCGATAGTTATTTTTTTTAATCTCCCATCGTTTTGTAATGAGGTTCCTCTAACGGAGAAGAAGGCGAAAAAACTCCGTAGGTATCCTTTTTTATGTCAATTATTGTTTTCTTAACAAAATTAATTAATATTATACAACTGTTTTTTTCTTTTATAAATAGCTTGGGAGCGATCAACTCATTCCCAATTTGCTGTTTGTATACAAAAACTGTAACAAAACATAACCTCCGATATCGTAGCTATGTGTAAAGCACAGATAATAGAATATTCAAACATTATATAAGATAAACGGTACACTTTCTTTTATAAACCACTAAGATTTGATCCGCCGAATTATATCCAGCTATTGCGATCATTGCGATCTTTAACCATGCTTTGTTTTTGTTGCTATTGCATGGTTTTGTAACTTTGCTAATGGTTTCTTATTAAACATACGAACTACTTTAACATTGAGAACGCATGTTAAATATTGTTGTTACATTGAAAGGTCAATGAGCGAAAGTAATTACCGGAACGTCACGTTATAAATCAACTGTACTTTTAATACGAGTATGAGCGCCGGGTCTGACATTTAACATTTAAAGCTTTCACCGTTTTAAACAGTAATTGCAATCAGTGGACACTAATGGAAATGTTTTAAGCAGGTATGGCTTAGTGACGATTTATAGTTAGCAGATTCAAACTGAAGACTCGGAGGTGAAATTTTCCGTTTTTTGAGATTCTAGCATGTAAAAATCGGTCTCACATTTGTGCCCGATGTACAACTCACGTTTAGTAATAAATAAATTAGTTGAATAGCGTGCATAGCTTTATCTATCTCTGACAACCCCTCTAGAGGCAAAAAGCTTTGTGCTTCTGGTTATATATGTGACTACTAGTTACATATTATATCACATGCCATGTCTGCGTTTGACCAGCTAAAGAGGGTTCTGTTTATGTTCTAAAACACTAATTAAGCAATTAACACTAATTAAGCATTAAGCAACATCTAAAGCCATCGGACTTTGAATACATTACCAGGGAAACAATCAAACAATGGGCAAAAAGCAAAATCACTTACATTGTAAGTCATTCCTCGCATTAACGGCCGATTTCTTAACTTTTTGTTGTGTAGACTTCAGAATTTTGAACGAGTTTCTCTTGAAGGAAAAGGTCAATTGTGTTTTATACGTGAATATTGACGATTTACGTCATATTGTTTGTAGTTTGTTTTGTTTTTAATCCCTGAACTCAAAAAACAAATCGAAATATTTTACGACGCCCGAATACACGATTTCGTAATATCGTTTAAAACTACTCACTAGAGTGATTATAATTCGTTACATAATAAACACGTTTCTTGCACACAGCTGTTTCGAATTACGATGAATGAATTAAACATGGCGTAGTACAAAGGAATTCGCTGAGCGTTGCGGGGATGTCAAACTGGTTTGTCGCTCAACATACCCAAGAATTACTTAAGAGTAATATTACTGTTTAATAACATTCTTTCACATAGTCACAGTGCTCCTGATTCTTTTGCACGATAAATTAGAGGTACTGTATTGGCTGATTTGGAATCAAATTTGTTAGATGTTATTATTTACGTATATTTTTATATTTATATAAAATATACGTAAATAATAACAATATAAAAATTTTATATTTTATTTTATAAATGGTTTTATTTATTTTATTTTATAAATGCCCATGGTTTGTATGCTGGAAAGGATATAACAATAGATGCGCCAAGCATTGCTTCAAATGCTAAAATAACAATGTAGAATGAAGGCGTTAAGATTTTCGTCGCTGTGGCTATCGGCCGTTTAGCTCAGTGGCTAGAGCGTCAGGCTGCGAATGCCGAAGACGTGGGTTCGATTCCCACAGCGGCGACAATCTTTTCGTACTTTTTCTACATGTTTTAATGTTCAATCTTAAGTGCAGAGATTAGCACTATAAAAAACTTTAAAAATTTAGTACCTATATATTTTCATACAATATTATTTACCTATTTGCACTTTAGAGCTATGGCGAACCGGGCGGAACATAACCTCTAATTTACGATTTACATTTAAAACAGTGAGAAGTATACGAACATTAGTTCATAGATAAACTGTCCTTGACTCTGTTAATATAAAAACTTATATCTCCAGAACACAGAACCATTACAAAAGCCATAAAGAAAACCTGCCGCTAATCTAAAATAACTTCTATTTACAATCTGTGCACTTTCGCTCAGAGCTGAGCGCTGTAGACAGTATGGCGGCGACGCCCACGCACTGTGTGTTTAATTCTCTGTAATATATTTATGATATCCCTGTTTATAGTTATCCAGTACGATTGCTCCGCTGTCTAGTTGTTTAATCCAGTTATAAATTAAAATACTGATACTTGGTTTGAGTTAAGCCACTTTATTCGTTAATATATTATCTGTATATTTTGTGGGATTTTGTTTGAGTAAGATTTTCTACAGAGTTTTATTTCACTCTGATATATCATCATTCTGAAGTGTTTGAATTTCTTTCTTCATAATAAGCTTTATATGATAACAGAAGCCATTTAGAGAAACAAAGAGCGATTATATTATCATACTAAAATCTCGTGTGAAAATCTGGGAATACTATGATTGAGAGCAACGCACGCGATGTGTGATGTGTCAGATAAACAAAGTGTTAGCGCGAAGCTGGTAAACATTTCCATGGTAGGCAACTTTGTAATGTTTATTTTATGCCTCGCCTCCTCTTATTGTGTAGAGGCTAATGTCCGGAGGCTTGCTTAATTATACTGAAATGTATACAGAAATTTTCGCACGGCAAATTATGAAGAATGCCATGCGAAGTTCAGTAGTGAAGGGTTACCATAATATTTACGTTTTCACAACCAGCAAGGAGGTGGTTTTTGCAATATGCACAGAAAAATTACGGGTTCAGAGTTCTTGAAGAATAACTTCAATGAAACTATAAATTATATTCATTATTGTTAGAGAAAAAAATAGAGCTAAGGATTTTGAATTGAGAGGCCATACATATTTTTTTTTTTTGGGAAAAATAAATAGCGTATAAAAATAAACAGTAAAATATTTAACTCTATATAACTATACGTAATCCTTACTTAAGTTTATACTGCATAACAACGTGCAATATATGTATGAACACGGTGGTTAAACCCCGAGGCAGCTTTTGCTGCTGTTTGAATAGCCATGCTATCCAGATAAGTACCAGGGTTACAGAACTGATCGTAGATATAAGTATTTATACTCTTCATTTCGAGAAGACTTACTGAGAAGACGCGCTTGCAATGTGTATACTACACAGATTGACGCCTAAAGCATTTTCTATGATAGAACCGTGTCCAGGCGTTCGCTTTTAATTCAATACACTTTAACAACCTGTATCGCAGTGTGAGACGACCCCCCACTGGATGGAGTGACGACCTGTGCATGTGTATGGGAAGTGGATGGATGCAGGTGGCTTAGGATCGTGGCAGTCTGTGGGGGAGGCCTATGTTCAACACCGGACTCAGGCTGAAATGATGAGGAAGATGATGACGAGCGACCTGAGTTATAATCCCGCTGCGGGCGCTTATTAATTTGTTAACTCCAACAAGTTTTGACTCACGTGCTCAAAAGTGAAATAAAATATCGCGAGGAAACCTGTATGTTTTCGGAACAATAATGACAATAATAAAAAATATTTCGAAGATATGTGAATACTGCCAATCTGCGGGGGTCACGTGGTGAACTTTACGCTCTATGCGGATGAGGCCCAACAGTGGGACATATACAGGCTGTTAGGGACATTACTTTTACGTGTACGCGGAAGGAAAATTCTTAAAAGAATCGCGACGCGTGAATTCCGTTGCGCCCACGCCGTTGCAGCAAACGGAAGCTGTTAGATTAGGCCGCATTAGCTCACGGAAAGACCTATCTCAGGCTGGGCGTGCCCATCGCCCACGTGGCGTCGCGGAAGGGAAAGCAATGGACTAATTTATGACGGCCCCTCCGGAGCATAAATCTACAAGGCAAATGAACACTTGCGGGGCGGTGATATATGGCGTCCGCGTGCCCCGCGCCTTAAACGATCTGGAGGGTCGAAGTTACTGGAAATTCTTCAGCGCCGGAGACTGTTCCGCTTAATTGCATGAGTGTTTATTACGTACTCTAGTCTGTATCACACAAAAGTAAATTAACTGTTCCACTGCTGGGCAAATTACCCTTTGCACGGAGGGACTAATCCACCACGCGACCCACACTGCAGATTGGCAGACTTCACATATCTTCGATATATTTTTTTATTATTATTTAGAAAATATGTATTTAGAAATATAATTAAGAAAGTATTTAGAAGATAAAGATAATGAAATATGATTTAGAAAATATGTAGGTTTCCTTACAGTGTTTTTCTTCATCGTAAAGTACAAGTACAAGAAATTTCCTATATTTGTTGATTTATTTGTGTTCGACCTTTATGCAAAACAATCATTCAATAAACTTAGTTTAAAATTACGATTAAACAATGTTTTAATGTTATGCCAGCGACTTCTAACTATCGCTCCTACAGATAAAAGGAGTGTTTACCCACACAAAAATCTTAGTAAGAAGCATCCAGATTTGCAGCAATTACCAGTGGGTCATACAAATACTTGCCTCGTCGGCTGTCAAAATAATGCAATTAATATTTACACTTCAATAACACTATAAATTATCATCAAAGCCCAGGATGTAAACAAGATTTAATAACGATGTCATCGTTGACAACTACGTATTACAGCATCATTATAGATATACCTATCTCAAATAGATATATTAATATTAGATAGGCGCAGCTTTGCCTTGGAGAAAAAGCAGTCGCATCTTACGAGCAGTCAATCCTATCTAGTGTTATTCCAACATTTGAGATAGCTCCGTTAAAATTTGAGATTGAGTAACAGGCACGTTCACATCCTCGTGTCAGCGCGGATAAGATCTACAGGAGCAATCTGCGCTCATTGACCATTTGTCGACCGCTCGACCGGACAAATCACTGCGTTCGCCGCTGCGTCTCAGCCCGATCGCTGTCCCCAAATACCAGCAAGGACGCCTCCATCTACATTTGACGTATGCGCGCGGGCTACACGACGAAATCGCCCTCATCCGTCGGCCCACGTGCGCCCACGCCGCACAGTAGCGATATTTAGAAGGAATTAGGAACGCCGTTCGCAATCTAGCTCCGTCGGCGGTGACGCCCCGGTATTGACTTACGAGCGTCGTCCCTCCGCGCGGAAGGCGGCGATAACGACCGTTTACGGCGCTTGTAAATTATACGAAGCTCCACGTCGTCGGTCCGCTCGGACGCGACAGATAGCTGGACTTGTGTGAGTCTAAAGCCGCCGACGGGGACATTAAAGCCCCGCGCCGAGCTTTAAAACTCTGTTATCGCCTTTTGAAATATGGCGTGCTGTTAAGTAGACATTCACTCGACGCTACCTAAGTTTCTGTTTCGTTTAAATACCTACGATACTGGCGCTGCTTAAATCATCACGCTGACGTATACGCTACGTAAACGTAGACAAGTAAAAAAAATTCAGTCTCACCTATAAACTTCCACCTATAACACTTGAGACTTTAACACTTCGTTAGTTTTACAACACTTTTTGAAACTGTCGTATGGCAACAAAGAAGGGACTTTGTGTGTTAAATCAATACTTAAGTATTGTATGTAACTAGCTTTATCCCGTGGCTTAACTCACTTAAGTAGTTCTTTGTTACAAATGTTAATCTCTTGAGATATGTTTTTTTAATTTCAAAGAAATGGCACTAATAATTAATTGGAATAAGCTTTCTCTATAATAAATTTCATTCCAATTCTATGAGTCCTTGGTCCTTAAAGAGGAAGAGAAATAAAACAAACACAAATAAAGAAACTGTCAACCTATAAACTATTGCGATTATTCTGATTTTATCCAGATGATGACTGAAATGCGATGAAAATTGATTATTTGAATATTCAAATGAAAGTAAAGCATCAAGAAACCTTGAGTATCCAACACACTGAGCATCTTGCTCTCAACATCTCTGTAGATTATTGGAACACGCTGTACACTTTCATATCCCGCGAACGCTATTACGGGCCGTCAACCAATTGTGACTCGGGCGGCATTCCTGACCTTATTGCGTCATTAACCGGTGCACGTCTGATGGATAAGCGACCAACGCCCCCCTCAGGTATTACATCTTCGTATGACTTACCGCAAAGAACAAGAAACTGCAAAGGTCGACGCAATCTCTCCGGATGAGTAAACTTTCAGAATAGAAATGACAAAACGTTGACTCGACCGAAAGGAAGTGCTGACATGAGCTGTACTCTAAATTTGTTTCTTTCCATAAGCGAATCTTATAATGCTTTTTCTTGGAAGACGCTCTTAATTTAATGTATAATTCTTTAATTAAACGTGATTCATTTTTGTGCATATATAATAACGTTATTGATTTCTTTGCTTGATTCTTATTTGGTTTTCAAGCTGTTATAATTAGTTAAAGAGGAGAGACAAGAAAACATAACTTTTAAACCTTTAAAATTTGCCTTTAAAATGAGATCCTTCAACTTTTAAGGAAAATAAATCAAAAATATAAATCACCACAGAACAACAAAGTTGGTTTTTTGATGAGTGTTTTGTGAATTTTAGTTTTCTTCCTATCCTTAACTGACAAATCTACACTTCTTTGCAAAATGCTAAAACTGAAAAAAAAAGTGTCTTTTCACGTAGAAACATAAATTCTGTTATTTATCTATAATAACAATAATAAAATCGAAAAGTCTGTCTGTGATTATAAAATAAAAATCTAAATTTAAGTTAAGGCTGCTTTAAGAACATACAATCATAAATAACGAATTAATTTAGATTCTCACTATCTTATGGTTTAAAAAAAGAAATTTAATTCTAATTTTCATTTAAATTACGCGTAATAGGGTTTTTAATAAACAGCAATAGGTACCGCCTTCATGCTTTATGTGATCGGCGTCAAACGCGTCCATTGTCACGGGAATTATTCCATAACGCAGTGTCACATACGTGATTCTCCGAACTCGACTACATAACGCTACTCCAGTAGTGCATTCTCAGGTGGTCTCAAATATCGATTCAGTGTAGACGAGTACTCGCCGATAGTTTAATAACTCTATCAAGAGCGATTGAGTTGATGAGGCATTGAATGGACGGTAATGGAAGATTCTAGACGTTCCTACAAATTGAATGAAATACTTACGTGGTTTTGTTAGCAAATCTACTTTAATATAAGTCCTTTTTATGTTTACTGGTAACAATTTATTAATTGTTTTTCTTTAAAAAATTACTAATTTGTATATTACCTGAAGTATAAAAAACAGTAAATGTTAAAATATTTGGAACTTTTAATATAATGTTTTACCTTAAGTACAAAATTCCCCTGGAATTTCGACTCTTTAGTCATTGTTTTTGCTTGTAATCTTAAGGGGTCATCGGACACAGAGTTCTCTCAAAAGCTACTGTTACATACTAAGATAAATCTCAGTAATAAATCTATTCACTTTCAGCCTTATTGACTACGGACACATAATCGGACGTATGTGTCCGCATAGAGAACAGAAAAGTAACAAAGCCTTCGACAATTTTGTCTGCAAATCAAGGTCTAGGATAAGAGTTTTTTTTTTTCAAAAATAAAATCGGCCTATGTTGTGTGTTTTTCCCGTTTCTTGAATCACCTTACTCACTCACTTATTCTTTTCATACAAAACATGGGCTTATTTCTATGAACTTTAATTTGTCCCTAATACTTTTGTTGCGTAACGAGTAATGCCTTAGTTTATATTATACTAGCTGCTGCCCGCGACTACGTCTGCGTAGAATAGGCTAACATACAGACAAAAAGACAGATATACATAAAAATATGTATATAAATGAGCCTATGTCTTATTGAGATTGATTGTAAAATTGATGTATAAGCTATATTATTGTAAAGTTTCATTAAAATCCATTCAGCAGTATTTGTACAGTAACAAACATCCATCCATACATACAAACCTTCGCGTTTACAATATTAGTAAGGACTATATTAACAACCGTCTTATTTTTGGTTATGATAATTTTGAAGAATTTTACAACAATAAAACAATTTATGTATTCGCTTGCACGATTACGTAATTTTAATATTTTGTATGTAACATAAACTAAGTCATATAAAATTTTTTGCCCTACTATAGTTAACTACACCAAAACATAAAACGCGTGTTGACGTTTCGATATATGTATAGTTTGTGTAAGCGAACTCGTAATGAAATATATCGACATTCTTGCACTATGTAAAAACGAATTAATGGTGAATATCTATATTTTAGAAATAAAAATGATGTGTTCTTAGTATCAAAGATGATTCGAAGATGATGAAGAGGATATCCATGGGTGGTGGTATTTTTATGTATTCAGCTAACATATTCACTTCACATCAGGAGAAACGTCTGCTCGCTTGCCAACTATTCACATAAAAAATATTTAATTCTTGTGTTTACGCGAATTCTATTGTCAAATTTAATTATAGTCACAAACTGTTAATCATAATATAATAAAAAATATTTGAATGTCAAATATCTCTTCATTCTCTGTGAAAAGGACTTGCATAATATCCAAAAATTTCATTTTGGTAATTGAAAAACAAAACCACCACACTATCACCAAAATCATAAATATTACTGTTTAATTGTAATAACTATTATGATAAATATGTTCTCATGGTTAATATTGAACACAGCGCCATATGGTTGTTTCCAGATGTCAATGTTACACAATTACGCAGGGGTCACCTAGGATCTACTCTAATGAGATGGAAGGTTTGCGTAATAATTGTAGAGACTGTGTAGCGTGATCAAAAAAAATACGATCATACAGGGAGATTTTTTGAGAAGTGCCCAAATTTACACAGGAGGTTCAGACTCGGTAATATAATCGTTTATTGAAATAAAAAACAAAGTTTTTTTCCAAAAAAAATGCCATTCTGTTCCCTAAAAAACAGAACGTGTTGACAATGCGGTAGTCATTCATAAATACCTAAATTTTACTGTGCTCGAACTTGTGTGCGTGTTAGTTATGAACGATCGCGCGTAAAATTAGTGAGTTGCGTATAAATTACGCACTTTTTTAAATAAATGAATGTAATTAATTACTCACGAGTGATTTTAAATATTGATAATTTTTTATATAACATTATTTGTGTCTAGAATTTAATAAAAAAATGGATACACTTAGAAAAACCATACATAAACATACAGGTTATTTATTAACCCCCGAGGTAAAAAGAGGGGTGTTATAAGTTTGTCTGTGTGTGACGTGCCTGTCTGAGTATCTGTGTGTCTGTCTGTGGCATCGTATCTTCTTAACGTATGTACCGATTATAATGCGGTTTTTTTGTTTAAAAGCTAACGCTGAATGAGACCTATAATTTTAGTTGTTTTTGTGTCAGAGGGCTACTTAAAATTTATAATATTTAATTATTCTGATTAATGAGAACTGTCAACTACGCTTTACGTGAAAACTTCGAAGTTACATTCATAATTCGGAGAATCGCAACTTAATTAAGGACCATATGTTCAATAACTTAAGTTTTATAAGAGTAGTTTGTGGCTTTATCCGGAATGTGACAGATTCGACACTTGTCGAACGTGGCGGTTTGTAAAATGGATGTCATCTCTTAGTCGGAAAATTTAAAGAGACTGTACGTATTTATAAATATATACGTAAGGAATTCCAGTAATTTTTGGTTCTAGTAGTTTAACGATTTCATTCATGTAAAATCATTGCACACAACATCAACAAATATTTATGATCGGTAAACAGCGGTGCATAAAAAAGGCAAGGCACAGTGACGCTCTTTATATTATATATCCCACGTGTAGGAAGGGCATCCACCCATGCGAATATGCATACTTCATGCGTCTTAGAAATATATTTTTCTTTCTTAGTCTTAATTTATCTTTCTTAGTCGTACGGTTGTTTTTCTTTACCAAACTGAAAACTTTGCACCGACATGTGGTCCGTATATGTGTTTTATCTCATAGTTAAAAGATTAAATGGTTTACAAAATGATTGCATCGTGATTGTATCGTGCGTTTATGAAACGATTATAAACAACGAGTTGAAATTCCACACAACCAATAAACAGGTCTGTAACGGCTTAATGCGAGGCGTATCGTAACGTATGTGAATACCTGCCGAGCATCAAACGCTAATATTACCGGACTACCGACCGCTCAAAGTTTCTGCAACGTTAGCAGCTTTTAGTAACGGAGAGCCACATGCCATTCTAGTAAGCGACATGAATCGATGTATTACGGTTTGGTAATTTCGGATTCTAGGTGCGGATGTTAAAAATAATTCTGGATCTCTGGTTTTCATCTGAAATTATCGTATTAGTTTTTATGAACTACACTAGCATTTCAATTCTATCTTCTTCTGGTTATGTTTACATAAATAAAGCAATTGGTGGTTGCTTCATAAAAAAAAAATATTACTTTACATAAAACAAAGTTTCGAATCTATTGACCTATATGGCCGTACTAACCGTACATTTACGAATTTCATAGATTGTCAACAAAAATATATATATTCTATCGAAACGATCCAAAATAAATTCGTAAAATACTTAAAATATAAATTTCCTACCTTATCTAATGAGCCCTCTATCTCTCTTTATCGTTATTTTCTTTATAAAATTGTTTATTCGTTATCTATTATTTTAATAGTTTATTAATGTTGATTCTATGTCTCGTCTCTAAATTAAATTATATGTGTAACAAACCCCATCTATGCTCGCAATAAGAAACTTTTTCAGTTGTCTATGACTAAAACTAAATATGCTTCTAATACTTTTATCAACCGTGTTTGTCAAAGTTTTAACAATAATTTTAATCATATAAATATATTTCATTTAAGTTTAGGTAGTTTTAGATCAAATGTCCTTCAGAGCTTTTGTAATATTCTATTTGTATATATAGTTCTACCGTGATATCTATTATATGAATTTACTTTTGGTGGAAACTTTACGGCTTGGAGATTTATAATGTATTAGTTGATTATACACCTGTTTGTTTTCCTTAAAAAAATAAATGAATAAATTACTGATATCTACTCGATGCTCCATTAATTTATCCCCCAGCTGTGAGGATATAAAATGATTAATGCCGTGCGCAATAATTGTCAATTACTATCATCGGTCAATAATTGACTTTAAATTGACGACCGACGTATGCGGGCTCATAAAAGTATTACGTAAAATTGATTGTATTACGAGTATTGTATGAAAAAAGCGTGCTGAACACCAATTTATACTGTTAAGAAAACTAAAACAGTTGCTTAATAAATATACTTGGAGAAACTCACCAGTACGGTAGCCGGCGTTGGACAGGTACGTAGCAAAGGTGTTGGTCTCGTGTGTCGCCTGCCACATCGGAGACGAACAGTTGTCGTTATTCGTGAACACATTGTGATTGTGCACGTAGACACCTGTCAGCAGGGAGCTCCTGGGAACGTAACAAAAGCATTACTGGGCTACTATCAGAAAAAAGAAATAAAATATAATAAAATCAGCCGCGCAAAACTTAAATACTGATGTCGAAGTTGCCTACATAACTAATGTACTCTACCAAAATAGCAAAGAGAAACAACCTAATTATACAGATAAATAAAATTGCAGTGTCTGTTTGTAATATTAAAATAGTCGCTTTTTACTACATGCATATATACGGTATATATACCAAAATAACATTTTTTTACAATTTTTGTCTGTCTTTCTTTATGTCTGTCTGTTTGTTCTGGCTAATATCTGAAACGGCTGGACCGATTTTGACGAGACTTTCACTAGCAGATAGCTGATCTAATAAGGAGTAACTTAGGCTACTTTTATTTTAGAATTTATTCTTTTATTTTAAATTCCTCGCGGACGAAGTCGCTGGCACAGCTAATGTTTGATAAATCTATTCAACAAAACCATATAGAACTTTGTTTCTAAGTTTAAATGAAACGAGCAGCGAGGATAAAATAGAATTTAAACAATTTAGGCAGCGAAGCGTACACGTCCGTGTGTGCACTAAACGCGAACTTCTACGCTCTAAAATCTATAAACTATGTACTGAACAAACTTGGACGTAGTTCACAAGAGCATGTTTGCGCAGTTTTGCGTTTACCACACCTGAAATGCCTACCTGGACGGGCAGCACATTGGCGTTGTAGTGTAAGCATGTCGGAACTCGGCACCAGCACTTCTAATAGCCTTCATTGTCCGCGGCATAAAGTTCAGGCTGCCAAGTTCCACGTCCTGATCATCGGTCAATATCAAAATTATGTTTGGTTTCTTCTCCCTCGGCTGTGGATACGGAATATACCCGTTGTTTTGCCATTTGTTCGCCAGTTTCGCCTTCATCCGCGTTGTGTTCTCCCTCACTGGTATGGGATGTGATCTTTCCGGCGCCTTACTTTGGTTGGTGATTTTTCTTCTTTCCGAAGAGTTCCTCTCCACGTTGCTTTTGTTCCAGTGTTTCTCCGTCCTGCGTGGCTTCTCATCGTTTCTTAAGCTGAAGGGTTCCGTGCGATTGGATATTACATGATCCTCGTACGTATGTGGGTCTGATCCCTTTCTTCTGTCACGTCTGACTTCATGCTCTCGCTCCCAGAATCTGCGCCTGTCGCCGCGGTATCTAGAGCTGTTTCTATGCCTTAAGTTTCTCCTCTCTGGCAAATCCGTCAATGTACCATTAAAGGTAGTTCTGTTTCTATTGTTCTCCTTGTTCCTCAGCTCTTTAGCTCTTATCGCGTCGTCGTCTTCAAAAGAATCTCGTCTCGCGGTGATGAGTATGAACTGCCACGTCAGAAGAAAAGGTATTATCTTCAGATTCATTGTTACTCTTTAGTATCTGCAGTGTACTAGAACTTTTTATACACAGTTCGCAGCAATGTTTTACTTTCTCACAAGCACAAAGTATTTACGTCGTATCTGTTTGTAACAGCAACAGCAACATCCTCCCTAGCCGGAGCGCCATCTTTAATTTTCCCCTGAAACAAGACAATTAATTATATTTTCTGGTAGCATCACATGTAACTATTCTATTCGCTTGGGTTTTTAAAATAAAATAAGAATAATCAATCTAAAAGGCTCTGCCACAGCACCATCATATAAATTCTAAACAACCCAGAGCGAATTAAAAGTTTCAGTAGAAAATAAATTACTTATTTCAAAGCCAAAACTAAATTAAAAGCTCAAGTAACTATACAGCGTATGTTCCACAAATAATGTCACAAGTTCTGGTTGAACGGATTTGAAATGCAAATAATAGATTTAAACAAAATTAAATAAATTATTCATTTTAAAAGCGTGCACGCGCGCGTCGTCACCAGTGTAAAGTTGCGCATTTTTTTTTTGTCGTCTTTCTATTGTGATAATAGATCGTTAACAATATCTTAATAACCTTATTACGTTGTTCATTATCATACTCATTAAATGCTGATTGTATTAAAAAGTTTGAACATAAAATCAGCGCGGCCATTTTGCATTACCGCAAACAATTAAAGCTTAAGAGCGTTTCAGTCATAAATTTCCCTAATTGTATTAACTTTCGGTGGAATTGGTCAAGGGGAAAGGCTTTTAAAACTTTAGGGTCTCCTTTGGTGTTTGAGAGCATTGAGTGGTTTTGCGTTCTCCGGCTATCATGGGAAGGGGTCAGGAAGGGAGTGATCAGCAGTGAAAAACTGCCCCTACCATTATCATATTAGATAGACTAGGAATCCTCCGAAAAGAAACACCGTTCCCTACCAAGTATGATTTACGAGGTTATTGAAATAAAGAAACATCCGGGAATTGTACCATAGTCAAACCTCTTTGGTTGTACTGTTTGTATCTGGCTGGTAAAAATAAAAATAAAAAGTAAAAACAAATTCCCGCCATTTTTCAATTGTTTTTTTCCTCCAAAATGAGTGAATCCAACGAAGAAATTCGATAAATTTTGAAATTTTAGTATAAAAGAAAAAAATAAACATGCGCCACAATCGCGAGAAATTTGGGACGTTTATGGTTCAAGCATTTTAGTCCGAGAATTTTGATGTCAAATTCGCAGTTCGCTCTGGTCGCCGGTTACGGATAGAATAATGACATTTTTGAAAAAATGAAGCATATTCGGATATATGTTTACAGATTCTACTGCTGAACATACACTTCCATCGGACTGCCGCGAAGCACGATCCTGAGCCACTTACATCCATCGACTTCCCGCACATTTGCACTGGTCGTTACTCCATCTAGTAGGGGGTCATTTTGCACTACGATGGCCTCCTAATTATTTAAGGACACAAATTCTTCCTTCCTTGAACCACTATTCTAACATAGACCACTATTCTAAACCACAACCCTTCTTTAGCGTCACGGGTGCGTCATTAAGGAGTTATTAATACGTGAGCTTAACAGGAGCACGTCTCGGAAGATGCATCTCGTTCTAAGACTCGATGAAAGATAAAAGGAAACGCTTGTAAAGAAATCGCCGCACCGATGAACAAATACACCGCGGCAGATCTTGTTAAATTTAGATTCTATGTATGGACATATGTTACGATGAAGTGTGCGTTAAGATGTTTTAAATGGATGTTGGAAAATAAAACTAGTTCCAATAATATATAAAAAGATATTATTTTGTATTTCTCCATGTAAAGAATTAGTCCATAACGATAAAATGCAATAACAGACAAAGTCCAACGTTATGATCAGTCATGACCATTGTGAAACTAATAATGACAATTGACAAATGAATGCATTCATAACGAAGATCATTTATTACATTAAACAAAAGCGGAATCCACGAGTCGATTTTTAATCTCGAAAAGGGAAACCTGTCTTGTGCGTCGGGATGGGTATTGTGAATTTAATAAACAATAGCTTGATCTGTTCTAGATATACATTTTCCTCGATTTCGTGTTGTAATACACATAATCCATCGAAGTAAAGAATAAATTTTAGCTTTGTTATATATATATATATTGTTATACCTTTCTACTGCATGACATAGTCAAAAACTACTCAACGGATTTTCAGAAGGTTTTCACTAAAACATGGAGTGATTTAGAGGAAGGTTAAGTGTATGTTTTATTAATGTATTGTATAAATTATTATAAATATGACTATGATTGTTGAAGATGTTCAAAAAAATATATCACATGGATTAAACTTAGCAGGTAGCGTAAAAAAATCTAGGCGTATTGTTCGCTCTGTTACCGAGTCACCAGTTTGAAATAAGAACATTTCTTGCTCAATATGATTCGATTGTAAATAATAAGAGATCAAAATTATGGACTGTCGTTTACAAGTGCTTTCCATATCCGACATGAATATCGGATGGAACGGTTTATAGGCTAATTATATTAACTGCTTTCGACTTTATAATGCTCTCGGTCTTAGGGCTTCAGATCGCCAGGGAGTCTATTCCGAAAAATGTACGACGTAATTTTCCGTTCGAAAACTTTTCCAGAAAACTTCGATTCCGATTTCCGTGTCATTGTACGTCGTGGCGTGGCTGCATTAAGCTATTCCAAACGTCAGGCAGATTATTCGAGCCGTTTCCGACATTCGGGCGAAACGTCGAAAGTTATGTCGTTCCTTTTCGCGGGAGATTGGCCGATTCCGCGGGGCGAATTAAGCGCGATTGCGCTCGACGCGTGCCGGAGCGGCGGCCGCGCCGCGGTGATCTTGATTTATGCGCCACGAACGCGCCCGATGCGGCAGCGTAATTGATAGGGGCCGAGTCTCGATCGATGACTAGCCGACGGACCGGTCCGGGTTCTCAAGCTCCAATAAATTGGCAACAATCTAAGAGAATAACTGATAATGGAACGCAAACGCAAAAACGTTTTCTTCTTATGGCCAGAGTTCCATTGAATTGACATTTTCGGCTTTAAGAACTTTATTATTCCGGTTGCTGCTTTCTTCGATTCTTATTCGCTTGAGACAAAGTAAGGACGTCATTAGACCGAAACAGGGAAGACAGATAAGAAACAATCTGGTTTTTAGGGGCTTAATGAATCCAGAACGAGGTAGGTGTGTCTGTCGTCTTGCATCGGGCACAAGTCTGTAGCTTTATTACTCACGATAAATCTGAAAAATCGGTAAATGCGTTGCATCCAACTGCGATTCGAACCCATGGCATAGATTATCATGAGCTAATAAATGTAATAAAATATTTCCTACAGATGGAAGCTTTCTTTCGTCTGAAAAAACTTTATTAATTTGTGAAAGCACCCATGTTTAAAATAGTCGATAGCTATACTTCGATCTTCAGAAATACGAAAGCCTTGTTCCCTTTAGCCGGCTATACAAAATCCGTCGCTGTTTACTCTTTGGAATTAACTTTGTTTATGCGGAGAAAGCACGCCGGTCACTATTTACAATAGCTGGCACAAAACAAGTCGCAAACAATACACCGGGCCGTGTTTTTGTTTGGAGCAAAGCACGTATTAACTTTTAATAGTGTTTACAGTAAAAGTGCCCGAACCTTGTACCTTAACATTAATATGCAAAACATATGAATAACAAACAGACGGTTTTCCCGCGGTTTTCGCTGCCCGTGAAATTTGCCTGACTGAGTAATTACGAATAATACTTGTTTTTCGCTGCCATATTTCGTGTGTAGATATCCGTATAGGTAAATAAATATCCTTCTCCGAGGCATGCTCACGCCCAGTACCGAGGGACACCGATGCGTTTCATAGGAGATCCCGGGGTCCCTCCAAACGTACAGAAGGTAGCCACCGAGGGGGGTTTTAGGGGTAAGAACCTCACATAACCCTGTCATGTAAGATGACAGGGTATCTTTTGAAGATTTCCCCCCCCCCCATACCAAAAAAAAGGTATATAAATATAGATATTACAATTTTATGCCAAAGTTAGTAAGTTGATGTGCTTAAAGTTTGAGATATGTGTGATGAACATTTCACTAAACCTAAAGAGATAAAAGCAAACATGTATAAAGAGTTACTCGGTGGCTTCTTGTTCTTGATGACTCGGTTGGTAAGCTATTGGCTTCCGCGTCGGGGGTCGTGGGTTCGACTCCCACACCGGACAAGAATTTGTGTGACCCCCAGGTAACCGTTCTGGATCTGGCTGTTTGTTTCCCAAGGAGGGGTTGACGTCAGGCACGCGGAGCCGATCGTAAAAATCATAGCCAAAACCGCTTACAACATGATTCACACGTTGTGCCGACATAAAGGCATGAGGATGATGTTGCACAAAGGTATTGTTACTACTGCCTGAAAGTGCAAACATCAATTTTAGATAAGACTATTAAGAACTTTGCAGCAGCTAGCTCCTGCATGAACGTGTATATCTACATGTTCATGAAGAAGTCCTATTTGCCGTGGTGATAACAAACATCAGAACCGTCTACTGCCTACCACCTTCTCACCTAAAAGAATATCTATTTATTCTTTGCGGTAAATTTAAATTTCGTTTATAAATTTAAAAAACCTTTAATGTCAAGCAGAATTTTGAAATTGCAGATTCCTGTAATATAACTACCAAAATTGAGTAGTGATAGTTCTTTTTTATTTTTATGAAAAAAGAACGAGCAGGCGGGTCACCTGACGGTAATCGATGACCGCCCATGGACACTAGCAACATCGGCTGAGTCACAATTGCGTTGCCGGCCTTTAAGGTAGGAGTAGGCTCTCTTCTTGAAGGTCTTTAAGTTCAAATAAGTCAAAACAACGTAATAATTTCTACATATTGGATTTGAACAAGTAGACGTACATTACATAGACTGTGGCTGATTAATAAAACTGAGAGATGTTTAAGCTGCAGTCGATCGTTGTGTGGATATGCCGTCTATATAAATGCCATTATAAACGAAGTATGAATACGAACTTTCTCCTTAAAAGTATTTAAGAAGATTAAGCGTATTAAGTGATAAAATTGAGATTAAGTGTAACAATCTGTGGTTATTTTCAACTTAAGTCATTGTATAAAAGTAGTCATTTGCTTGTCAACATATGTAACATTTTTGAATGGTAAAATATAATTCGGAGGCCTAAAACGAAGAAAATATGCCTTTATGTAAACAAAACTACGCTGTAATGTGATCTCATATATTTCCACTTACACTGAGTAATTTACCGCCGATAAGCCACTTCAGTTTCATTCGAGAGCCCAATGCAATCGTCTTTTACGACTAAAAAATAACGAACAAATTTAATACAACTGCAGTTTAAAAAAGAAAGCAGTTTCCTGCTCTTAATTTACTCCAATCAACACGTTTAATTTACCATTTGCGGCCATTCGAGTCAGTCTGCTGGGAAATTTGCATTGAAAGGATATCATTTGATTTGAGGTAATTAGCTCTGATATACTCAATCGCACAGAAGCCTACATTAAAATGGTGCTTTTATAGATATACAAGATAACGCGCAAGCGATTTATCTTTTATTTTATTTCAATGTCTAGAATTAAAACTGTAATTTGTTTTCGTCTAGTTGATTTTATAATTTTTGTGCACGCATGCCGCTTACCGTGATGCATACTAACAATGGCCTGATACAGGGACTCTCAATGTTGATAATATACTGGAATTGACATAACATTTAAGATTTTCATAAATATACTAGCCGACCTAGCAAACGTTGTTTTGCCATAATTTTTGCGAAAATTAAAAATTTTCTTTTTTCGTTTGAGCCACCCTTAACACATATAAAAACTATTTAAAAACCTATTCTCATACCTACTGAATAAAAATGTCATTAAAATCGGTGAAGGAGGTCAAAATCGGATGAGAATGAACACTAAAACTGTGACACGAGAATTTTATATATTAGATTATTATATTTATTGTTAAATTCATTTCTAAAACCATCTATACTAATATTATAAATGCGAAAGTAACTCTTGTCTGTCTGTCTGCCTCGCTTCGTACACAGATAGTCTAGAGGCTGAGAAAGGACATAAGCTTTTTTTTAATTGGAAAAAAGTTTTGTAAAGGATTGAAAGATATTTAAAGCCCCTAAAGGGCTTCAACGCGAGCGAAACTGCGGGCGAAAGGCTAGTATGAAATAATTTCAATTCCACGTTAACGGCTAATTCTTCAGCTCACATAATGCATGATCTCAATCGTGTTCATATTTTATAACTAACTACCCGCGACCACACGTACGGTCCAATACAGTCGTGTTTCATTTTTTACTAACAGACTATTACAGTTAATTAAACCCTTCATAAGAACAATCATTAAGCCATACGATGGGACGTCGGCCTTAAATCTCCGTCCAATTGATTTCTTTTTAAACTCAACTCGAACAAGATTTCTCTTAAATTATTAACAGATGTAGCGTAATGATTCGGCGATCTTATTTTCGGTTACAGTTAATTCCTAATTGCATTTAAATATTAAGAATCGGGCGTCTCAGGGGGGAGGAAAAACGACTTCGGTGTCTGTAAAATGTCGCCGAAGACAAACGTGAGCACCGACGAAAGAAGAAACATCGTCTGAAATCAACAATTCCCTTTCCTTCCATCCATCGCAAGAATGTAAATTAACCCTTATAAATTAGAAGTTAATCACCCGCTTTGCAAAGTTGCGCGAACCGCGACGGAAGCTTGGGAGCCTCATGTAAATCTCCTTAATGGTTTCCGCGTAACGAACTTTATTATTCGCCGTTAATTTACGCATTGGCGAAAGAAAACAAAGTTCGCCCGCGAAAATGTAATGTTCCTTCGTGTGGCTTTGCCCGTTGTGCAAAACAAATTTTCGTGTACAACTCAGAATAAATTCGAAACAATTGAAAATTATCGGAAAGCAAAAGTTTACAGTATTTATTTATTTCTGTACCTCGTAAGGAATTCGTATTAACTAGCCATATCATTAATTCTAGAAAAGAGACACGTTAAAATCATTTCCAACAACCTCTTTTCGTAAATAAATAAGTTGGAGGTTTTATAAGAACTATTCTTGACCTGTCTCATTAAGATTTATACAGACAGTGGTGTAATATGAATAAGGATAACATATAAAAATACTTCTACTGTTTTAATAACTAAAATGCAATGAAAATATCAATTTATGTGTGGTATTCACGCATGACTCCATATGTACTGCAGCTTTCGTTTTATTGTTGAAGACTTCACGTTAATAGATTGTTTAGTCTATTTTATGCATACATGATCGAAACTGTTGTGTTAATCACCCAAGATTTCGCATCAGTAGTTGAAGTTAGTCTTTGAATCAATTATCAGCCTTGAATCAATTATAAACTATTTAGTTTGGCACATTGCTTGTTTTGCATCATCCATGACCAGGATGTTCCGATTCAAAACAATTAATTGTACCAGAAGCATTATTCAAGTTCATATTCGGTTAAAAAACTCGAGTAAATGAAATAGGATAAACGCAAATGCAAAGCCCATTTCATTGCCCCGTAATATGATAACAACTTTCTCTCAACAATCAGTATCAATTATTTAGTATATTTATGAAATCGCATTAATGTATCGTTATCATGGAAATTTAAATGACACATTACAGAATGAATACAATTATTGCAAAAGAATGAATCCCAAAAAGTTCGGTTACCTACATAGAAAAAAAAATTACGGTCTTTTTTTGCACATGTCAGTTTTGATCAAATATATATTCCTTACCTAAATCATACAGGAAAGCTGCATGATGCACGAGTAGGCTATTAAGTGTAAAATATAACACGGCCCCGATAGTGTTCTTGAAAGTTTCATGAGACCACCTTCCGTGAAAT